CCGCTCCTTCCAAATCACTCTTATTGGCTACGTTTATTGCAGCCTAATTGTTAGATATAGCTTCATAGTGCCTTCAAAGTCAATTCCCAATTCTATAAGAAACGTTCTTAGCCAAAGTAACATAGGAACTCCATGCACCATGGCTCAATACTTAGTCTCTACACTTGACCTGACAGCAGTAGATTGTTTTCTTGCTTCCCCAAAGGAAAATATACCACTAACAAAGGTACTATTGGAAGGGATGAAACTCAGTTGTTTAATGGCTGAACCTGTTAAGGTTGATTACCGAATTACAAAAAGATTTCAGCCCATTATTGAAACCAATTTCTTGGTATTTGAAAATCAAAATTTTCTGAATTGATCTTGCACTGAACTGGACCAGGTTTGAAACCCAAAATTGAATTGAGTTTACCTGATATGGAGTCCACAAATTGCATCTCCCAAGTGGTAGTTCATGCCCAAAATTCAGACCTAGACCATCCTCCAAACTGAAGATGGCATAGCTAGAAACTTGAGGTCGATCCTACAACACTGCTTCAACCAATTTTGATCTCCAACTGGTTGGAATCAATGCATCTGTATGAACCACATAACCTTTGATGCTTTTTCTTCAAAAACACAACAAAAAAGTAATGGATAAACAATGCCCTCCAAGGCTGGTTCAAGCTAGGGTTTATGGGAAGCAAGGGAGAAGAAAGAGAGAGCAAGAGAGAGTCTAGAATAGGATAGTTTGATATCTCCCTCTTAACCCTATATATAGAGCTCTCTCCTAATGCAATTAGGTCTAATCCAAATCAGATTTGGGTTAGGACTTAATCACACTAATAGAACGGAGATCCTTACCCATTTCCACACCCATATTAGATCCAAATCACATGACAACTTAGTTGTCATGTACTAGATTAACTAGTCTTACAAGTAAGGGGCTAAGGCCCATTTCCTTTAATGATTCACTTACATAATTGTTGCTAGGCCAAGGCCTGAATAATGTATGGCATAGGGTCCACAAAGGTCTAATATAAGTCCATAAGGGTTCAGCTCATGTTTGGAAAGAAATAGGCCAAATTCACGGCATAAGGTTAGTGAACTTCAGACTAATCAAGTTGGGCTCAGTTTTAGCCCACACTTAAGTCTAATCCACAAAGGTCTAATATAAGTCCATAAGGGTTCAGCTCATGTTTGGAAAGAAATAGGCCAAATTCACGGCATAAGGTTAGTGAACTTCAGACTAATCAAGTTGGGCTCAGTTTTGGCCCACACTTAAGTCTAAGTGATCTTTGGTTTCAACCACCCTATGAAGCCCAAGGATAATGGACTGATATGAGATAAAGCCCATCAGGTTTTAAGCCTCATAATGGTCTCTTTCCTTTAACCTTTCAGCCCTAAATGATCAAAACACTGTTCACAGGGAAGGACCTCTTCACTGATTACAAAGTGTAGCGTCAAACCCTCTACTTAGATGGATCCTGAGATTAAAACCTTTCGCAAACCATTGTCGGCGGTTTTAGGTTTCCATTAAAGAGAGTGTAAACCGTGATATTCATTGTCTAACAAAAGGGCTGATCTTATCACTATGATCACCCACTTAGGTAATATCCTAAGCTGCTCTAACATACCTACGTATTTGACCTTAAGTGGATCTCACTGGTTGGCATATCTAAGCCAATACAGTCTAAGACCTAATGCAGTATCATAATCAAGTATGAGGTTAAGCGCAACTTTCTAGTTTTGCCTATCTATCTCCAAGGTCCATGGTATATTTGGAAAATTTTCCAGGTTCAGTGCTTCTTACAAACACCCATTAACTATACTTAGGGTCTAACCTATAGCTGAGACAAGTTGCTCCACTAATTTAGTAACAAATCATTGTTAGGCTTGTCAAGATGAACTTCTCAAGTTTAACCAATGTCTAAGAACTTTCTAAACTAACACAAGTCTCTTAAGTGTCCAGTTTAAGGAGTAAATCACAAAAACATACCAATTTGAACATAAAACAATAATGTATTGATATTTTTCCAGGAATTCGTTTCTATTTTGGGAAGACACTTGGGTGGGCAATCAACCTCTAAAAGATATCTTTCATTCCCTTTATTCTCTTTCCCTTTTTTTAAAAAGGAGGTCATTTCTATATTCCTTCCCCCTCTGGTCTTACCCTTATCCTTGAATTGGGGCTTTGGTTTTCGTAGGGGATTAAGGGAGGCTGAACTTGTTTGTGTTACTAAACTTCTATCCATCTTTGACAATGTTTGTTTGGACCCCTCTTTTCCTGAAAGAAGAGTGTGAACCCCTATCCCAAAAGGTTCCTTCTTCAAATCCCTCTGTCCTAGTACTTCCCTTTATCCTTTCCCAATATGAAAGAAGTTTGGACTAAGCTTGTTCTCTCCCCCACCCCCCACCCCCCCAAATAGCTGGTTTTCTCTATTTGTCCCCAAACTAGTGTGTGTTGTACAAATCTCATAGTGAGGACTATTACCACTTACTGATTTCTTGTTCCTTTGCTATAGCTCTCTAGGATTGGATGTTTTTTTTTTGTTTTTTTTTTTATGTAGGTGGAATCAACCAATAGAGGTAAAAGAGGGAGCAGTATGTGGAGATGTTTTAGAGCAACCACCCTATGGACAATTTGGGAAGAAAGAAATACTAGAATTTTCCAAGATAAGGATAGATCCTTTATAAAAGTGAAGGAATGTATTTTAACTAGGGCCATTCACTGGTTAAAATCCTTGGTTCTTTTCAATTCTTTCTTATTTGATGACATTTGGAGGAATTGGGTTGCAGTTGCACACAATTCGGTTAGGAAAACCAGGGCTGCAACAGTTTGGGTAATTCCTCCGGAAGGGGTTATTAAACTAAATTTTGATAGAAGCATTCAGGGTAACCCTGGACTGTTTGACATAGGAGGAGTCTTGAGGAATGAGAATGGGAACATTGTATTATTATTCTCAGGTYCGGTGGGGATAGAAGATTATACAAGAGCTGAGTTGTTGGCTGCAGTACAAGGAATTCAGATTGCTAATCAACTAGGAGTGGTAAAGGGGATTCTAAGATGATTGTGGTCCGGTTGTCAAATCCAAACTCAGTTGCTTGGAGTTATAGGGATCACATTAGAAAAGTTGAATGTTTAACAAGGAACATATCATGTAGATACCAATGGGTTGGCTGATTATCTTGCTAAACAGGGGTTTGCTAGGGATCGGTTATTTGGGCAGCTTTGTAACACTTTTTCTATGACCGGCTTTAAGGGCATACAATGTCTAATATGTAAAATAACTTAAGGTCAGGGCAATTTTTTATCATCAATTGATCTAGGCCAATTAGCATCAGTGTAGGCTTAAATCTTAAGATGACCATGCAAGTGCATAACAACCCTTTTCTAGTGTTCCTTTTAAATGACAAAGAATATTGTCAACTACAATTAAGTGTGGGATTGTAGGCTGGTACATATACTATCTATCAATCAGCCATGGGTATGACACCCTTTAAAGCTCTTTATTGAAGTGAGTCTCCTCCCATACTGTCTTATGAATATGTTTCTTCCAAGGTTGCAGCTGTGGAAACTCAGTTAATTGCAAGGGTTGGAATCCTTAGGTTACTTAAATCAAACCTGGCTAAGGCCCATCAAAGAATGAAGGCCCAATACGATGCCCATCACTGCCAACTAGAGTTCTAGGTCAGTGATTTTGTTTATCTCAAGCTCCAATCTTATCGTCAGGTCTCAGTGGTAAGGAGGGCTTGGCACAAGCTCACACCAAGGTACTTCAGGCTGTTTAAGGTCCTAAAAAGAGTGGGCCTTGTTGCTTATTGACTGGAGCTCTCAGCCACCTCAAAGTTGCATCGAGTGTTTCACATTTCACTCCTTGAGAAGGTAGTTGCGCCCCAGACTACAGTCTGTCCTACATTGCCTCAGTTCACTGAAGAGGGGGACCTTGACACAGTACCTATTCAAATTGTGGATTTCTGCGGTGGGTCTGCAGAGGAAGACAGGTCATACCCGAAGCCAAGATGGAATGGCTCGGCTTCCAATGCAGTATGCCACCTGGGAGCCCTACATTCTGTTGAATGAGTGATTTCCTAATTAGGACCTTGAGGTTAAGGTCAATGTTAAGGGAGGAGGAATTGGTGAAGCCCAAACAGCCCATGGGAAGTTAGCTTGAGCCCAATAGCTTGTGCAGGCCATGTTCCGATCACTCATCACTTCACTAGAAGACAAAGGGGCTAGCATGCCACATCTGCAGATCCTCTATCAGAGTTGGTTACACTGCCACATGAAGATATTCTCTTGATGATTGTATTGGAAGGCCAGCTATATAAGGCCCCAAAAGTGTAACAAGTGGAATCAGTGAATGAAAACCTATCTTTTCTCCCCCCCTCTCTCTTATCTTCTTCCTCACCCCTGTTCTTTCATCACTCAACCTTATTAGGAGGTTAAGCCACGCTCGAAGGGGCTTCTGTGGTGAGTGATTTTCATCACAGGATGTATGAACTGTTTAGGGAAGTGAGTAGTATTAGATAAGGGGAGAAATCTGTGGTAATGTATTACTCATCCCTTTAGACCTTGTGGGAAGAAATAGAACACTTGTAAGACCTTAAGTGGAGAGATCCATTAGATAGTGAACAATGCAGGAAGCACATGGAAAAATATAGGGTATTTGATCTTTTAGCTAGACTCAACATTTTTTTTAACTTAATGAGAGCATATTTTAAGTAATGATGTTCTTAGACTCAACTTTACAACAATACCCCTGACATAAAATGATTGAACTACTCTTGGTTTATTTTCCTATTAATTGTTCTTTTTCATAAGATACACATCCTGCATTTAGTGAATCTCTCTCTCTCTCTCTCTCTCTCTCTCTCTCGGGTAGCTTAATCATGTTATGTCAAAATTCTGAAACATTGCCTTTAACTGGGCATTGTATTAGCTAATTTCTTTATGTACTTGGTAACGCCCTTTGTCATTTCCATTTGCACTATCTAGAGCTAATCTTCTCTGCTGACAGGCTATCTGTTTGATGCTTTCAGTTCTGCAAACAGCTCGATTACCAAATATCAAGGTACATAATGAATGTTATATTTTTTTTCTCAAAATTCATGGATTACACTTCTAATTATTTTCCTTCTATTCAGGTTTCTTCAGTGCTTCTTTGTTGTGCATTTTTTTATGACATATTTTGGGTCTTCTTGTCTCCACTTATATTCCATGAAAGTGTTATGATTGCGGTAAGTCAAACTATCTGTTCTCCTATACTTCATTCATTTTGTATTCTTTTAATATGGAAACAATGTCTTTGTTATGTTAGGCTTATAATTTTTGAGCTTAGAAAAGTAAAAGAAAATGTGCACATTACAAGCTTTATACTTCACTCATTTTGTATTCTTTTAATATGGAAACAATGTCTTTGTTATGTTAGGCTTATAATTTTTGAGCTTAGAAAAGTAAAAGAAAATGTGCACATTACAAGCTTAAGAATATCCATGGTAAAATACAATAGTCAATATATATTATGCTTTGTATAGATAAGCATTGGTGTTTAACCATTATTTTTATTTTTATTTTTACTTTTATTTCATAACAGTTTAGTTTCATTTATAAGAAGACCTCTTGTGTTTAGAACCTTATGTATATGTGTACAGAATTCAAAGCAATAAACAAAAGGAAATTCATTATATTTGTCTTAAGTAGCCATTTGATAACATCTGAAGTGGTGATCTGAATGATTTATTGATTTGCCTTTTAATGAATAAATTATTTTAAGGAGGTTGTAAGCTCTTTAATTGTTGAAATTTTATTGATTTCTGTACTCTTAAGTATTTTATTCATTATGAGAAATATAGTAAAATGACACTTTTCCTGCTACATACAACATACATATAAAATTAGTCCCACTACATTGCAAACATCTATCTTGTTAAGAACAGTATTCAGCTGGACTATCTCAACAGCCTTGTATTAAAATATCAACCAGTTTATATTCAATTTTCACAAATGGTAGGCATCTCTCCTTAYAGACCATCTTCTCTCTAAGAAAATGCCTATACATTTCAAAATGCTTAGTTTTGTCATGTTATACTAGACTGTAATCAATACTTAATGCAGCCTGATTATGAAAATATAGGTTTATAAAGCCTTGCATTCAAATTCATGTAAAGGAATCTTTTATCCAAAATCCACAAGCTTTATATGCCATCACCATATATTCAACTCTACATCAAAATGAGTCACCACTAACTGCTTTTTACTTCTCCAAGTAACTAGTTTGGCCCTAAGCAGATGTACAATACCCAGAAGTAGATTTTTTATTTGATAATTAACCATCAATTTTATTAAATACTAATGGTAATTAACTAATAACATAGTAACTAGTATCCCTACCATATGATTTAATTTTCAACTGAGCCCTCCCCCCAAAAAAAATAAAAATAAAAAATACTAATTCGTTGCTATCCCTTTTTGCTGATGTCTCAGCCATGCAATTAGTTGATCTTGGTACCCACTGGATTTTTCACTTGCATATTTAGTAAACCATCCAAATTTCTTCATTTCATTTCAATATGCTCACAAAGCACTCCTATTCATCAGCCACATACTCACCACCATCCAATCTCCCTCATAGTAATTTAGTAAGGCATGATGCTTGTCCACTGGACACCCTGGATAACTGCCCTAAGCTTAATGACCCTGGATTCCCTAGACTCCTACCATCAAATTTAAGCTTAAAAAATCCCCTCCCGATGGTAGCCATCACGTTTGAATCGCCAGCTTTTTGGTTGAAGTTTTGGTCACTTCCCCCCACTTTCTAATGATATCATCTATTGAGAAAGAAATGAAGGAATCCTATGAGAAACAAACAACAGATCAATCCCAAACAAGAAAAACCTTGAACACTCCACACCCAGAGAAACAAACCACAGATCAACCCCAAACAAGAAAAACCTTGAACACTCCACACCCAGCCCACACACCCAATTAGATCACAAGCCGACCCAGGACTTGACCCTCATCTTACTTTTCTAGAGACCAAACCTGACAGACCTCTCTATCTATGCCTTCATTCAAAAGAAACAGAACTCACGCACCCCAAACTTCCTACAGAAATATTAGAATCCTCTTTCTTTTTCTTGACAACTTTTTTTGTCTTCTTCACCCTCTTTTTAATTCCAACCCCAAATAGGCCCCCTTCTATCTAGAAAACACCTTTGAAACTGTCACAGATCTGTTGAATTTCTGGTGCCTCATCTTTTAACTGCATTAGGAGGACCCTCACAAATCTTTCTATCTCCATGACTCTCATTAATCCTTTCAATCTCTAAGACTGTGTTCTTCTCTGTTATGGTTCAGACCTGTACTTGTTTCAGTTGTAAATAACAGAAGAAAGAGTAGAGAAGAAAGAGAGAGAAGAGACAACAAAGAGAAGAGGAGAGAAGAAGAAATAGAAGAGAAAGGCTGGTTTGAACTAGAGAATTCTATCTCTCTAGTTGGCCAGATGTTATTTATAGATTTCTAATTAAAAGAACAAAGACATTTATGCACCTACTTAAGTATGGGACACAACACTTAAACCAAAACATAAGACATTACACCTCACTCTTAGCATAAACCAAAATGATCAAACTACCCCTCTACAGCCGATTCTAACACTCTCCCTCAAGCTGGTGAGTATATGTCATTAGTCCCAACTTGTTAAATATGTAATCCACACTCTTCCTCGACTCAAACCTTTGGTGAAAATGTCTGTCCATTGACTTGTTGTATTTACATATGCAGTACTTATCACTCCACTAAGTACCTTCTCCCTCACAAAGTGACAATCAATTTCTATATGTTTTGTTCTTTCATGGAAAACTAGATTCGAACAAATGTGGACTGCAGCTTGGTTGTCACAATATAGCTTCATATGAGGTTCTTCAACCATACTAATTCACATGTAGTGTGTTCCATGGCTCTATATTCAGTTTTAGCACTACTTGCCACCACTATCTTCTTGCTCTTCCATGACACCAAATTGCCCCCAAGAAAGGTACAATACCTGTAGTGGACCTCTTATCAGATATTGAACCAGCCCAATCAACATTTGTGTATCCCTCTATCTTAAGACTTCTTCCACTCTTATATAATAAGCCACGACTTGAAGCTCTCTTCAAGTACCATACAATCCTTAGAACTGCATCCCAATGTGGAACCTAGGGGTTCTGCATAAATTGACTCACCACACTAACTACAAATGATATCTAGCCGAGTAATGGTTAGGTAATTCAACTTGCCCACCAACCTCTTATACCTTTCAAGATCTTCAAATTCTTCACCTGCATCACAACTTAACTTGACATTTGATTCCATGGGTGTTTTGGCAAGTTTGGCACCTAATAATCATGTCTCTTCTAACAGATCAAGAACACACTTCCTTTGGAACAAATTAATACCATGCTTAGACCTCGCTACTTCTATCCCCAAGAAATCTTTTAATTTTCCAAGATCATTTGTCTGGAAGTGATCATGTAGAAAGATCTTTAGCCTATCAATCCCCAAACTGTCACTACTGATAATAACAATGTTAGTCAATCAATCTGAATCGTAGCTAAATACTGAATGGTCAACCTGACACTGTATCATGCCAAATTCTTTCACCACTTCACTGAATCTACCAAACCATGCATGGGAAGACTGTTTAAGTCCATAAATGGCCTTCTTGAGTCTGCACACCTTACTATCCTCCCCCTAAGCTACAAACCCTGGTGGTTGCTCCATATAGACCTCCTCAAGAAGGTCACCATATAATTCTTGATGTCCAGATGAAACAAAGGCCAATCATACATAGTAACTAGGGATTTCAAAACATGGACTGAACCAATCTTAGCAATAGGAGAGAAGATCTATGTGTAGTCAACACCATACAACTGTGAGTAGCCTTTTGCAACTAACTGAGCTTTCAACCACTCTACACTACCATCTTGTAAATACTTGATAATGTATACCCATTTAAAACCTACAACATGTTTGCCAGGAGGGAGAATGGTGAGATCCCACATATGATTATAAGCCAGAGTTGAGAGTTCTTCTTCCATTGCATGGCGCCACCCTGGAGAGGCAAGTGCTTCCCGGACATACTTATGAATAGAAACAAAAGGCAACATATAAACAAACTGGCGATAGGAAGCAAAAAGGTGAGATACAGAAACATAATTTAAAATGGGATGAAGGGTGCAACTATGTTTACCTTTCCGCAATGCAATAGGAAGACCAAGGTTAGAGACAAGGGGTGGGGCAGGTGCGGCAACAATGCTGGATTTGCCAACGGTGAGGAAGCTGGAGGAAGAGCCAGTACATGTTGATGTGTATATGCTTGTTGGATGGGTGGTCGTTCAATAGGAAGTTGCATTAGAGGCGGGAGCTTGGTCACAATTGGAACAAGAGGAATGGGGTCCTCAATGGGAATGGTGTCAACTCGGTTCAAATCAAAGAAGAACCARGAAATGAAAGGGTGTGTTCTATCGAGTCACATGCCTAGAAAAGTTATCGTATATATGAAAGTGTACAAAGTTATGGAAATGACAGTTGTGTCCTCTTACAAGAAAGAATAAAACAAAAGAATAGTGTACATAAGTTACAACATAAAAGAGTGGTCCCAAGAGCTAAAAAAGGAAAGAAAATGTAAGAGACATAAATCAATATCTACACCCCCCTCAAACTGATGCTGAGGTACGAGCATCCGTTTGTCAACTAGAAACTGGTGACAAGCACGGGTCATAGCCTTTGTGAATAAGTCAACAAGCTATAGGGAAAAAGACACGTGTGACAAAGATATGTGTCCAGTAGAAAATTGATCTCTAATGAAGTGGCAGTCAACCTCTATATGTTTGGTTTGCTCATGGAAGACAGGGTTGGATGCAATCTTGATAGCACTCACATTATCAACATTAATAGGAACTGGAGATGCCAAGGTCATCAAGGAGGGCTCTTAGCCATATAATTTCACTGTAGACGGAGGACACAGCCCTATACTCAGCCTCAGTAGAAGACTTGGAGATAGTTGGTTGCATTTTATACTTCCAGGATATGAGAGTCACCAAGAATAAAACACTAGCCAATAGTGGAGCATCTAGTACCTGGGCATCCTATCCAATCAGCATTTGCATAAGCGGATAAGCTGAGAAAAGATGTAGGAAAGAAAATGCCATGTGAAAGGGTTCCACGAATGTATCTCATAATACGACGAACTACA